AAGAAGAAGAAGAAGAAGAAGAAGAAGAAGAAGAAGAAGAAGAAGAAATAATAGAAGGGAGTTGGGCTTGGCCTCTGTTTGTATTATATGTCATCAACATTGACAGGGCAAGCCACTAGAATATATTCGGAGACCAACCCCCACTCCTTACTAGCACTGATGTCTGGGTAATGAAATGTCTGCCAGAAAACAGCTAAGAGCAGAGAGCACCAAGGACCCCAGAATCCAGTTCTACTCTCTTCCCCTTTCCTCCTCCTCCTCCCCTTTCCTCCTCCTTCACCCCGCAAACCCCACTCCCTTCAAGCGCAGAGGGAAGTTAGCAAGGAAGCAACCAAGCTCAGAGAGCATCAAAGGCTTCACTGAATGGGAAACGCTGAAACCAGAAGTCAGTTCAGAGGGTGTTGGGCAAGACTTCAAAGCAAAGAACGATACCTGGCGGAGAACAAAGAACGTTCTCCGGGTTGATGGAAGCTTCGTACGGTGGCGGAGGGTCATCGGGATGTTGGATGTCCGGGTATTTGTACGCTGTGTAAGGCGGAGGCGGGTCGTGGAAATGAAAGGCTCCGCCTTCTCCGTCGTCGGAAAGGTGCAGCGGCGTGAGTCCCGTTCCAAAGCCGTCTGGACCATAATCGAAACCGGGCATCCTTCGGCCCAGGTTAAAATGGTGCACTGTAAAAAAAAGAGGCGCAGGGACATGAAAAGACCTTACATCGTTACAATTTCATTCTGCAAAGCATCCAAGTTCAGAGTGGAACCGTGGAGCTTTCGCTCTTTAGCTTTAAAACTTAGGTTACAATTCTTCACTTTCAAAATTTAAAACTTTCCTTTCTTTCTTTTTTAATAAGAAGTTTTTTTTTACTTTTAACAACAAACAGACAAATGCAAACATAAAACAACAAAACAAAACCATCTTACAATTGTACAGTGTGTCAGTTGGTACATAATTCTTGAGCCCAATATGTATAGTCTTTTCCTCTTGAATTGAAATTTACATCCATATTACATTAATCAACTTTCCAACTTGGTCCTCAACCCCAATAAGACCAAGGAGCTTATAGTGGATTATAGAAGGAACAGATCAGACATCCAGCCCTTGCTTGTCGATGGAGACCGAGTGGAGCAAGTGGCCAGTTTTAAGTTTCTGGGTGTTACTCTAAAAGAGTTGTGCCCACATTGCAGCCCTGGTCAAAAGGGCCAACAGAGATTATACTACCTGAGGCTTCTCAGGAAACAACTGAATGAAGAACTGCTGGTGACCTTCTACTGCTGCACCATAGAGAGCATTTTAACCTACTGCACCTCTGTATGGTTTGCCAATTGCACAGGGGCAGATAGGAAAGCACTCCGGAGGGTGAACGTCATTGCCTAGAGGATCCTGGGTTGCCCTCTCCCCTCTTTGGAAGAGCTTTATAGCTCCCACTGCCTTAAGAAAGTTCAAAACATTCTCAAAGATCCATTTCAACCTGGGCACCCTTTTTATTTGAACTATTACCATCTGTCAGACGGTACAGAAGAATAAAAATAAAGACAAACAGGCTGGAAAACAGCTTCTATCCCAGGGCAGTAACTTTTTTGAATTATCCTGTAAAGTGCAATATTAATACAATATCGGGGGGGCTGGGTTCAATTCAATGTATAGAATGTGAAGGATGTGTGTTTGTGATTATTTTCATAGACACGATGTACATTGAAGATGGCATTTAATTTCATTGTGTGAGGTGCAATGACAATTAAGTAAACTAAACTAAACTAAAAAGACCCACCGGGGCAAGTCATGGAAAGTCCAAAAACTTTTGAGCCACCCAAACTTCCCCGTAGGCATCCTTCGGAAAAAGGCGAACCCGCACACTTACGGTTGGCTCCAATTAGAGACTCGATGCGCTCCCGGCGTCTCTGTCGCAGCCGGTGGACCATGAAGAGCAGGAGGGACAAAATGAGGAAAGAAGAGACACAGCTGACGATGAGGCGCATGCCGCTGGCCATGGAATCGAACAGGCTGTTGCCATCTGCAAGAGGATTTGTTGGAATATCAAGAGAATTAGCTTTGTATTACGGTCGTTTTGAGTCAGCCGTTGCATCCCACTTTTATTCTTTTTATAAATAACTCAAGGGGGTGAATATGTGCGAGACACACCCTCCTCCTCCTGTTTTCTCCACAACAACAATCCTGTGAGGTGGGTTGGGCTGAGAGAGAGAGGGACTGGCCCAAAGTCACCCAGCTGGCTTTTGTGGCTGAGGCGAGACTAGAACTCACCATCTCCCGGAGATTCACCCAAAATGACCTGTTTTTTTTTTCAAGCCTACCGCAGGACTATAATTCCCAATCTCTTGGGGATTGGCCCAAATTGACCCAGCCGGCTTTCATGCCTAAAAGTAGGACTATAACTCAACATCTCTTGATGTCCAAAGTCACAAGTCTTGATGTCCAAAGTCTTGATCTCTTGATGTCCAAAGTCACCCAACCAGCTTTCATGGCTAAGGCAGGACTAGAACTCACTAACGCCCAGTTCCTAGCCTGGTGCCTTCACCACTAGATCAAACTGACCTGCTTTTTATATTTATTTATCCCACCGGCCATGACCACAGAAGCATCTTCAGATACTACTGGCTCTCTCAGCAATAGTTTTAATGAAACTAAACTAGAAAGAGTACAGAGAAGAGTAACAAACATGATGAGGGGACTGGAGGATAAAACATAGGAAGAACGGTTGCTGGAACTCAGTATGTTTAGTTTGATGAAAAGAAGGACTACGGGAGACATGATAGCAGTCTTCCAATATCTCGGGGGATGCCCCAAAGAAGAGGCAGTCAAGCTATTCTCCAAAGCACCAAACAGCAGGACAAAAAGCAATGGGTGGAAATTAATCAAGGAGTGAAGCGACCTAGAACTAAGGAGAAATTTCCTGACAGTTACAACAATTAATCAGTGGAACAACTTGCCTTCGGAAGTTGTGGATGCTTCAACACTGGAAGTTTTTAAAAAGATGTTGGATAACCATTTGTCTGAAGTGGTGTAGGGTTTCCTGCCTAAGCAGGGGGTTGGACTAGAAGACCTCCAAAGTCCCTTCCAACTCTGCTAATCTATTTTATCTGTAGTTTTATGTTAGTTTTTTTGAACTCCGTATGTTTTATTTATTTTCAGTTTTAAAAACTGCTAAGAGTTTGCATTTTACCCGTCTGACGCTGTTTCTACGACTGCAATAAAGACTGGGTATGAGGGAAGCCAGAACCTACCAGGATCCGAACAGGTAAATTTGCAGCATTCCTTGGGATCCTTTAGGTAATGCTGACAGCCCTGCGGCCGCTCGCACAACGCCGCCACGCACATCTCCGGCTCGCCGTTGTGACATGTGCAACTTAAGCAGGGGTCGTCCCCTTTAGGTGTGAAGTTGTAGCCTTCGTCGACAATGTTATCTTTGATATCCACGCAGGTCTGGCCTGGAACAGAGAGGAGCGGTGGGGAGGAGAACAAAAATGCAGTCTTTATTTTGGCTGATTCTCCTCTGATGTGTTTGATCCAGCAGACTGATCAATAGAGGTGGGGGGTGGGGTGGGGGGAACTGACTTACTTCTCTTGCAAAGGAAGGACGATTTTTCATAGCAGTTCTCCGCGTACCAGCTGTGAAAACCGTGGTGCCGGAGAATTGGGAAGTGGGAGCATTGAAATTGGGCGCAGAGGATGTTTTCGTTTTTGGAGAGAGAGGTACTAAATGTAGGATTGGGGGGCAGAAATACTTCGGAGGAGCCTGAAGTGACAAAATGGAGGAAGAGAGGATGGATCACGCTGTGCTGGAAAAAACCCTTAACGAAAGCTAAACAGGTCGATCCACGCCGCTTTGATTCGACTTGAATCACACAAGGGAGGTGTCTTTTTTAAGGAGCAAAGAAGCAACTCAGCCTGATACACAGGAAGAGAGCCAGGCGGGCACTCTCCCCAACTTTGCACTAATAGTTATGCAGATGTGGGCTTTAATCTGGTAAGATTCCTGTCTGCAGACAAGAAACAATGAAGAAACCACTCTGAAGAAATTACTCTTCTTGGCTCCTTGAGCCTGGCACTTATTGATACCAACAGAAGGGAATATTTGTAGCTCAGGGTTGAAATGAACGGTCCTTGGTGCTCTCTGAGCTTGGTGGTTTTCTTGCAGACGTTTCATGATCCAACTAGGTAACATCATCAGTGCTAGAAAAATTTGGTGGTGGTGGAGGACGACGTCAACGACAAGGACTGTGGGATCCTTGGTGCTCTCCGAGCTTGGTTGCTTTCTTGCAGACATTTCATGACCCAACTAGGGAGCATCATCAATGTTAGATGGGAGTTACAAGCAGACAGCAAACCCTCCTTCCTTCCAGCACTGATGATGTTACCTAGCTGGGTCATGAAAGGTCTTCAAGAAAACAATGAATGTCAAAAAGCACCAAAGATCAAGACTTCTCAAGTCTTCCTCTTTCTCCTCCACCGGACTCCCAGCACTGATGATGTTATCTAGCTGGGTAGTGAAATGTCTGCAACAAGGAGTCCACTCATTGATACATTATCTAGTTTGCACTTGGTTTTTGTATTAGGGAGCCTGGCATTTCTCCTAGTAGGCAAAATAATTTTATTCATACTTCTCTAGTGTATGCATTCTTGTAATTCACTTCCCTTAAGGTTTACAGCTTGTTTTTTTTCCTGCAAATTCTGGGTGTGCCTTCCATTCCCTCTGGACGTTCGTATGAAGGTCTTTCATTCTTTATGTATCAGGAAATTATTCAATATATGAGGAGACATAAAGTGCATTCCACCTGCGTGAACACAGTTCTGATTTTAGTCTAAGCCCAAAGATTCCGATTTCGAGACTTGCCTTTATAAGCAACTTCCCAGTGGCCTTCGAGAGAATTGTTCCGGTTGGTGATGACGAACTGATATCCAACCCAAAACCTTCCGTTGGAAATTTAGGAGGAGTGGGGGGGAAAAAAAAAAAAGACAAGTTGTAACACTTCAGTGAGGATAAAATTGCATTGGAGAAAGTTAATGCAATTTTAAAAAAAATAAATCCACACAAAACAGGTTCAAATTTTGCACCAAGGGTTCACCGTTATATCCAATCTCCGCTCTGGTATAACGGAGGACATAAATATCTTTGACCCACTGCTCAATCCTAAAAATCTATGGGTGAGGTGGGCAAAATTAAACCTGTTCAAGGTTTGCGTCAAACCTGCCACAACTTAAAAGCCTCTAAATAGAAACAAGAAATGGCTCCATTTCTTGAGGAAGGTGTGGTTAGAGATCAAATGTATGTGGCACTGCAAAGCCAGAACTGAGAATCGCCTGCCCAAATTCCCAAGTTCTACTTCTCCTTCCCTAAACTATCCTTCCTTCGTTGCCCACCCCAATGTAACCAGTCAGGTCCAGGTAAGGCGTTTTCATAACAGTCAGTCCCAGCGCAGTTTGGCAGGCGGGCCCCCTCTTTCTTCCGGTTGGCTGAGCAGATACAGCATTTACTTTCGGTTTCCCCAAGCATTTTCCCCTTCATTCCTGCTCCACACAGTTCATGGCTGTCTGTCACCACATAGCAGGGAAGCACAAGCAAACGTAAGGTGGTTAAGATGACCACTGGACGTTGACAAATAAAATGCCGGCGATGACAACAGCAGCTCCGGAAGCAAAACTCAATGTCTCCAATAGAACCCTTGGAGTTCCTCTCCAAGGAATGAAACAGATCCATCCCAAAAGACGAAGTGGTGGCTGTTTTTTCCCCAAAATAGCAATTGCACTTAAGACTTATATAGTGCTTTTACAGCCCTCTCTAAGCGGTTTACAGAGTCAGCCTCTTGCCCCCAACAATTTTGGGTCTTCCTTTTACCCCATTTTACCTACCCTCGGAAGGATGGAAGGCTGAGTCAACCTTGAGCCTGGTGGGATTTGAACTGCCAAACTGTAGGCAGCCGGCTGCAGAAGTAGCTTGCAGGACTGCACTCTAACCACTGCGCCGCAGAGGCTCATGAAATGAAATGAAATGCTGATGTTCCGTGCGCACTCACCGGCGTTGATCTTTCCGGCCAAAAGTCTTCTCCTCGGCGTCCCACTCTTGCTGCAGAATGAACTTCAGCTCCTGGTCAGTGGTAAAGGTGGCCAAGGAAGCATTCACCTTCTGGCATGTCTGTACAGCATCCCAGTAGTTCTCTCCACTTAGGTACACCCTGTAGCAACTGGCAGTGCCCTCATAGTGGTGCCAACCTGATGGGCATTTCCCTAGGAAACATGAAAGAGAGAAGGGAAAAGAATTCCCCACCCAGTTAGGACCTCAACACACACACACACACACACGTCACAGTCTTCTTTAAGCAGTTTACAGAGTCAGCCTCTTGCCCCCAACAATCTGGGTCCTCATTTTACCAACTTCAGAAGGATGGAAGGCTGAGTCAAGCTTGAGCCAGCCAGGATCGAACCGCTGGCGGCCAGCAGTCAGCAGAATTAGCCTGCAACACTGCTTTCTAACCACTGCGCCATCGCGGCTCTTTTTGAGAAGGCTTGGACTGCCTAACAAGTGGTCCAAACTAAGAAACCAACACCATCTAGGTCAGGATAGCTTCTATTATAGCAACTATAATCAAAGTCTAATTAGGTTTTCCCCTTTCCTTTACCTAGGAAACTGGGGAGGGGCTTGTCTGAGACTGAATTCTCATTTACTTTCTTGGTCTAGGCTAAAGCCCCTCTTTTCCGACCGCTGCCTTGATAACAAGCTCTTTCTCCCTGTCCTTCAAGGCTCTTCCTCCACGTCCTCAAGATCTGGTTCTTGTTTCCAAGTCTGCAACTTACTACTAAATCGAACCGGCTGCGCCATGTTGATGGTGTGGAACCTTGTCGTGTCCCCTCCTCTTCCGCGATTGTGCCTGGAATCCACATTTTCCTTCCCGTGATAAATTCGTTGGTCCCCTGTATAGTCTAGGAGAAAGGTAAACACGAGAGGCTTCAGGTAAGCAAGGAGGATGAACATATTTAACCACACTTCAATTTAACCATGCGTTTATTTAACCCCATATTTAACCACACTTTAATTTAACCATGCGTTTTTTTCCCCCAGAAAATAATTTAGAATCATCTATTATTCAAACGTTCAAACAGGCCTATGGTTTGTGTTTCTGAGTCATGAAAACACACAGAAGGCCCTGAATACAAAGGTTAGAGATTCGCTGAATGTTCCTCTTTCTTTGATTAAAAAAAAAAAAAAGTGAAATTATTTTGCCCGTGTTGTTTTCTTCCGCACTGGGATTCTTATTATAGCTTGGCTTTTGTTAGTGGTAGCATGTAATAATGGAGATAAAAAGGGAACACGTGCAAACTGTTAGCTGGATGTTAACATGATTTTTATCACTCTGCTGGGGTCAGCAAAATTTTTGGCTCAAAACCAGGGGGGGACGCATACTTCAAAGACCGCAGAGGTAGATTGATCCAAATAAGAGAGACAGAATCAGCTGATAGAAACCTACGTATTATCGAGGTATTCCTAAGAGGTTTTGAGACAGACTCTTCCAACGTTAGATGTCATGTTAATTATCGGGCCCTTCCTCCACTCGAAAAACTGTACAGGTGGGTCCTTGGCTTACGACAGCTCGTTCAGGGACCGTTCCGAATTAACAATGGCACTGGAAAAAAGGGGAGTTATGACCGCTTTCACGCGACCTTTGCAGCACCCCCGTGGTTTACGTGCTCAGAATTCAGATAACGGCCACCGACTCGTACTTACGAGGGCTGCAGGGTCCCTTTTGCAGCCTCCTGATGAGCCAAGTCAATGGGGAAGCTGGGTTCGCTTAACAGCTGGGTTACTAACTGAGCAACTGTTGCGATCCGCTTAATGACTGCAGGTGACTGTAAGAAAACCACCAAGCTCAGAGAGCTCCAAGGACCCCCACAGTCCTCCTCTTCCTCCTCCCCCTCCCCCATTCCTTTCTAGCACGGTTGATGTAACCTACTTCGGGTCATGAAACGACTGCAAGAAAACAAGCAAGCTCAGAGAGCACAAAGGACCCTAACAATTGGACTTTCTAAATATTTCTTCTTTTCTGTCCTTCAAAATCTGTTCGCTGACATTGAGGACCTCAGAGTGAATATCTAACTTCAAGGAAAATATGTGTTTTTCAAGGTCTCAACTCTTTTTGTTTCTTCCAGTCTTATCATAAGTAAATGAGGACGCGGTCTGATTGAGTAGAAACCTGGGAATTTACTTCTATTTGCTTTAAAATCCTCATTTAAGCAAGTTTCCTTTTTTAAAAAAAGGCTTGCAGGCTTTGTTCTGTAACAATGCTTACATTTAGAGTATAATCTTGTGCACGGTAACAAATACATAAGCGTAATGGGATTTATTTTGAAGTAAACATTCATAGAAGTCTGTTATTTTCCCCCATTTCTTGTTGCATAATCTGTTATGCAAATATAAACTGTGATGAAACAAGAAAAAGAGAGCACAAAGGACCCTACAGTCCTCCTCCCACTCTTCCTCTTCCCCCCCCCCCCCCCGACCCCATTCCTTTCTTGCACTGATGATGTTACCTATTTGGGTCACGAAACAACTGCAAGATAATAAGCAAGTTGAGAGAGCACCAAGGATCCTTCACGTCAAACCTGAGCTACAAATATTCTCCTTGATTAATAGGTGCATGTATTTCAAACTAGCATGGGCTCCAGAGGAGAACAAATTCGAGACCTATCGCTGGATTCACGCTAGGAACAGACAGAGAAATTCACAAAGTGGGAATGTTTTGAGGCTGGGACTTTTTCCTTGGAGGCTTCAATGGGTTCAAGTTGAAGCAGGTTCTCTCCGTTAAACTGGAAAGCCTTCAAAGAGTCGAAACACCCCCAAAAGCAAACTGTTTTAAACATCAAAATATTTCAGATTCCAAACATTCTTTTTTTTTGGCACAGCCCTAAATCACATTTCATGTTGAGCTGTTGTGATGTGGCTTGCAGTCCTTTGTTGACCTAACGTTTTGTGTAAGCTCAGCCAACTCGGGTTTAGTCAAAACGCCCATGTTGGGAAGGAAGGAAGGAAGGAAGGAAGGAAGGAAGGAAGGAAGGAAGGAAGGAATTGTAATAATAATGAGCCAATTTTTCGGGAAGATCTGAAAAATATCCATGTTAAATGGAAGGATGTGGAGACTGTAGCTGCAGACCAAGATCTAGGCCTAGGATGGAGTAAGAAGAGGAAGAGGAGGAGATTTAATTTGCTTTTAAATAACCCAGGGCAATGCATAAAGTATCTCTTCCTGAAAGCCACTTCTCTTTCTTCTAAACAACAAGCTGCAAGAGAGAAAAATGTCATTCTCTGCAGGAGGTTCTGAGCTCCTGGACTGCAGGTGGGCGCACAGCAGCTCCACAGTGTCGTTGCCAAGTACGCACAAAAGAGAACCCATCGCTCCCACCGGGCTGGAAAAGCCTGAGAAACTCCTGAAACACACCCACCCTAGAAGTACCCAGCCTTGAGGCTTTGAAAGCTTGGGTGTTCTTGCTGGAACCGGCCAAAGGATTCGTTCCTCCAAAGCAGCCGAATCCTTACTTCGTGCGTGTGACTGAGGCTGCCTGTGGCATAAATCCTTCCAGCAATGCCCAAGTATGCGATCAAGAGAGAGAGCATTAGTGAGCTTTCAGAGCAGGAGATCAAAGAATCTGGAAATCGCTGGGTTTAGGGGCGTTGGGGAGAGAAACGGAAAGGAGAGTTGGAGGCAAAGGCAAAGAATTGTCTTCGGGGGCCCCCAAAAGGCTTTGTAGCTACAAAGCTTTGATTTAATTTGGTCCTCGAGATGCTGTAAGGGAATTTGAGGCTCAACTGTAAGAAAAGTTATGTAACTGAGAGAGAGGCTGGGAGCAGCAAGTAAAACGAAGGCTGGAGATTGAAACCGTCACAAGGAGCTCTTGACAGCTGTGTTAAGAGTAGATTAAATTCTTGGGCTGCAGAGGAGCAGAAAAGAGGCTGTATAAAAAAACGACTGAAGGTCTTCGCTCGGCTGAGAAAATGCAGCAAATTGGATCTCCGATGAGACGCTGAAGGGGTGCAATGAAGAACGACTAAATCTATCTGCAAGAGAAGCGACAGTGGGCTACAAAATCATCATTCTGGAATATCACAACTTCTCCACAACAACAGCAATTGTCTAGTTTGTATAGATTTGGAGAAAAAAAACAATTGAAAAGATTATTATTATTATTATTTTTTAAAAAAGAGATGCGTCTTACGTAATCTTATTGGCCGCTCTGCCTATATGAAACTTTGTTCTGCAGTCTTCCTCTCTGCTAATCTTACTCAACTTTCTGGTTTTTCGGCTTCAGTCAAAGGCAATTTATTTTTAAAAACATAATAACTCAGCTGCGCTTCTATGAAGCGGAACTTCGATTCATCTCCATGGATTTTACACTGGATTTGAGAGAAGGGGTGGACAATGGTTTGCTGCTGAAGACCATACTTAAAATTTATGGGGATCCCACCTATCTTAGCGGGTGGAGTTCAAGAACTTACTGGAAACAGGACTTTATTTTTTTTCTGAGTTTTGTGGAGTTCTTGGCTTGCAAAGCACCATTAATCTTGATTTGGAGCTTATGCAAACTTTTCCCATTTCCTGCCTCCGAAGGGCAGAAAACACACCCGGCGGTCAGCCATTTGGAGCAGAAGAGATTCTGTGGATATTATTTGGCCTTGGGAAGGCAGGGGACTTTCCTTGTTAAAACAAAAACCAAACAAAACCAAGAATACAACTATAAGAGTTAAACTTGACTAAAATTGGGGTGGGGAAAGGGGAGGAAGAGCTGACTGGAATGGCTAATAAACTTGCCCAAAGTGTTTCTCCAGTACATCAAGAAAATGGCTATGGATTAGAGGAGTGTGTGGTATTGAAACCCACAAGAGGTTAGGAGTGGACATGTGGTGGACTTATCCTGCCCTCACTTCCTTATTCAAGCACATACATGTACATGTATGTAAAAACTGAGAAGGAAACTTTTAAACAAGAAAATAAGAGCTAACACAAGCTAACCTAAAGTAAGCAAGCAACACAGAAATACTTTTCAGCTGCACAACTATCGCATTTCAAAGTGCAACGCTTTTCAGGAGTAGACCGCAGCTTACAGGGGGGGAGATCACATTCATGATATCTGAATGCTACGCTCCCCGGCTGCAAACTAATTTGACACAAAGCTTCTGGATAAGATGGAAGAAAGAGAGACAGACGATATAATTCTATTTCCTCCCTAGTTTTTGCTGACAAAAATTTCGATGGATGTCCTGGAGCCTAGAAAAAGACTGTCAGGGGCAAGGAACCAAAACAACTCCATGCAATAAAGTCAAAGCACTTTATTGTTGACCTCTTATTTACAAGAACCTCCCCGGACTGACTGCGTTCTCCTGGGAGCAGGTAGGTGAAGGCTTCCGGAGTCTGGCCTCCAAGCCAGCCCACCTCTCTACTCCACTCTCTATTGCAGCCTGTGATTCCACTACACAGGCTTCCCTGTTCTTTCCCAATACTTTAGTTAAAAGTTAGGAGTAAGTTCAGGAGGAATTTTCCGACAATGGGAACAACTCATGTCGTCCTCCTAACCTCAGTTTTTGCTGGCAGAGGCACGTCGGGCCAGTCCTTCACTGTTTTCAGGGAGGCTCCATGGGCCAGATCTAAGCACCCCGCCAGCCGGATCCGGGCCCCGGGCCTTGAGTTTGACACCCCCAGTAGAAAGTCTCCTGCCTTGAACAAGAGTTGGGCTAGAAGACCTGCGAGGCCCCTCCCAGCCCTAGGACTCTACGCTTTCTGTTCTGTGTTCTTTTTGGGGGGGGGGGGCACTTACTTGGGCAGCCAACTTCATCGCTTTCATCCTCACAGGTGGGCCACCCATCGCACTGCCACTTGGAGGGGATGCACTGGACTGAACCGCTACGGCAAGTGAATTGCCCGGGGATGCAACGCAGCTCTGCAAAAGATGAGGAGAAGGTTGCTCAAGCTTCCAAATCCAAAAATACCATCCACAACCCCCCCCCCCCCCAAAAAAAATCCCTCTTGGCTCCGAGCTAGTGCGCCCAAATTTAAAGTCCTTCCTCGTGGTTGGGATGAGCGGCGAGAGAGAAATGTCAAAACTTTGCATTACTGGAGAAAGTTTTGACTGGGTTTCTTCCTCTCCCACTCCCCACATGAGAGACGGCTCTTCTGAATCCTGTTAAGCAAGGATCAAGGAAAGTTGCAATTGACTTTGGCTCCCAAAAATTGATCGGCACTTCAAGCAAACAAACACGTGGAGTGTGTAATTTAGTGCAGACGAAAACCGTACACCAAATCTGCAGGAAAGACGCTCAATAGCTACTATTAACCCTCGCCAGGATTAACGCCTTCACAAGATCTCTCTTCTCCGTTTCATTATACATCGTACATCCAGGGAACATTTGCCTCGAGAATCCATCAGAAGCTCAGGGCATTGGCTTTCCCCTTGCGAAAGCAAGAGGTTCACAAAAATGTGAAGCCGAGCCAATCAAAATAGCTGTTTAAGCTTGAGACAAAAATTCATGCTTTTTTTTTTAATGCGTACCATTTCAGTTCAGAAAACCAAATAAACTTATTTGGATACACATGACCCTTACTGTATACACAGTGCAAAGGCAGAATGAACTTTACTTCCTAATTACAGATAAAATGCACAGTGGAGAACCTGGCTCAAAGCATTGATGATATTCTGCAAGAAGAGGGTCTTAGCATCATATATGAAGCGTTTTAAGAAGCAGAAAGCTAAAGTGATTTTTATCAGGGGCAACCTGGTCTACCCAACTATGGGATGGAGCATTCTGCTTCTGCTTTCGCCTTTCAGCCCCAACCCAGGAGCCTTCTTCGCAGGGCAGTCGCTTTCGCGACAAACTATTTTTGTGTTCAATTTATATTTTCTCGACAAAGAAATAAAGAGAGACTAGTATGGATCTATTTCAAGCTATTTAGCTCTTGTCAGCTAGCTGTACCCTTCTGGTTCGAATCTGGTTTGAATTCGATGCGAGCTAGTCTCCCTTTATTTCTTTGTTGGGAAAATATAAATTGAACACAAGCTAGCTTAAGTCAACTGGGAGAAATTAAAAAAAAATATAGGCCTCCTCTGTTTAACACTATTACTCAAAAGGAAAAGTCAGGTTGTAGGCTATAGTGACAGCTAAGAACTCAAGACTGTGGGAAGAGATGATTTCTTGTGTTACACGACCATCAAAACAGCACAGACAGGTGGGTTTGTACACTCCTCACTTTCCAAAAATCATTGTATTGTACCGCACAAATCTTAGCACACACAGCACAAGGTCAAAAGAATCACATCGTCCAGAGTGGAAGGCAGATCAGGCTACTCTTTTAAATAATGTCACAGGGGACAAATGGCAGGAAGGGTTAAGTCCTATGACAAAGGCAGCATGACTCCTTCCAGGGTGTGGTCATTCAAGCCACAGCATCTTCTTTGGGGGTAATTACAAGCAATTTTTAATTTTTATTAACTTCCTATTTAAAAAAAAACACAACACTGTGGTGTCAGTTGGTCAAGAGAGTAGCTAGTCTGAAATTGACACCTTCCCTTCTCAAGAGCTTTGTAACTGAGGAGGGACTTGTGACACTTAATTGCATCATCATCCTAGCCTGCTAATGGGTCCATATACTCAGCTAAGCCATTACATGGATTGCTTTGTTTTGGGTAACACTTTGTCAACACTATGATGTGTTCCACATTCCTCTTTTAGTGCTCACTAGATTTCCTGTCCTTTGTGACTTCAGGGGAAAAAAAGTATTATTTTAATGCCTTATTTAAAAAAAATAAAATCAAGAGGAAGTTGGCATTCTGCTAAGTAAAATGCTAGCATCATTATTTATTTCCAACAAGGCCTTTGGGCCTCATAGAGATCTTATCAGAGTGTAGACAACTTCCTGGAAGGAAATGTCATCACTGATGAATGAATGCTTTCTGAGATTATGTCCAGTCCTTTTATGAATAGATGGGTCAACAAAGCAGCACCCCCAGAAGTTCTTTGGGGGGAGGGGGGGCTGCCACAGAGAGGAGAGATCTACCTATTTTCCAAAGCACCCGGAGGCCAGACGAGGAATAATGGATGGAAACTGATCAAGGAGAGATTCAATCTAGAAATAAGGAGAAAGGTTCTGACAGGGAGAACAATCAACCAAGGGAATAGAAGTTGCCTTCAGAAGTTGTGAGAGCTTCATCACTGGAGGTTTTCAAGAAGAGACCAGGCTGCCAACTGTCAGAAATGGTGTAGGGTCTCCTGCTTGGCCGGGGTGGTGGTGGTTGGACTAGATGACCTACAAGGTCCCTTCCAACTCTGTTATTCTCTTCCCTATTTCATCCCCATTTAAATCTTACATCAGCTTAGCTATTCTATCCACCTGACGATGTGAGTTGTAGCTCATGAAAAGTTATGCCTTTTAATAAAACATAATGGCGAGAAAAAAACTGCTACCAGATTAGATTCCTTCTGGTTCTGGGCTATTATAAATTAAGACCGCTCTCCTTAGCAATTGCTAAGAACTTGGAGCCAAGATTTGCACACACTGCTCTGGAGACAGAAAATAGAAAACACATTTTTGTTATAAAAAAAAAAAAATTAAGCCAGCTGCAAGCGGCCTACTACTTAATATTGAACAACAGAAGCATCTTGGAAATAAAACTGTTCTCAAGAATTACAAACAAGGAGTCAATCCTCAGCCTTGCCACAGAAAACCAAATTCGGGTGGAGATTTTTGGTTTATTTTTATGCTACCATGCCTCCGAAGATTGCGCAGGACTGCTTTCTCCATTTATACACTAAAACATGTACAATGTAGCATGAGATGTTAACAATTCGCTTTGAAATAATATAGTTATATCCTACTCCAATAGGTAACAGTGTCTCACTGTTACCCAGTTCATTTCCACCTCAAAAAAAAAAAAAAAGAAAGAAAGTTCCAGATTGCAGCTATAAACATCCTAAATTAAAATTGCCTATTACATTTGGCTTTCTCTCGATCCCGTTATCAAATCTATCAGCATATAAGACTATCTCTAATAAGAAGAATAGCTGCCAGATGTTTACCTGGTCCAGATACAGATAATATCGAAGTTAATATTACCGGATTAAGCCAACATTGTTGTATTTCTTTCTCACTGTTTATTCTTCTATTCTTTGAGACCCCCCCCATGATTGACATAAACCAATTCAAATCCCCAAGAGGTGAACACTCAAAATAGACATTTTCCAAAATGCTTAAGTAACACAGTGATAAAAGCCTGAGATTTGAAGACAAACTACCCCACGACCTGGTTAGATATTATCTCTTAAAGGTAAATACAAGAAAGCATCACCCTTAAACTTGAGCATGTAATAAAAAAAGTTTGATTCACATTACAGGTTCAGCCAAAATACAAAAACAAAAGCTAGTCTGATTTGCAAACCCTGGTTAATTCATTATATTTATGTGTTACATTAATTTATGAATGCATTTGTTCAATCTACGTATGCTTTTATTAAATTTAAATGCTGCTCATCTGACAGTTAAAGCAATTCTGGGCGGCTCGCAACCTGATAATAGAACAATTGAAAAACAATTGTTCAAACAATTGAAATAAGTAAGAATTAAATAGAGATTCTTGTCAATAAGACAATTGCAGCTTTGCCTATAAGACAGGCCTGAACTCACTCAAAAGAGCCCGCGTTAGGAAGCAAAGAGATTTATTTTACATTCTGCCTTGTCTCTTGCACGTATTGCACAATGCAAAAATATTTTGCAACTGAATTATGACCTCTGCAAATAGTTGGACATACATACAGGTAGTCCTCGACTTACGACCACAATGGAGCCCAACATTTCTGTGGCTAAGTAAAACATCTGTTAAGTGAGTTTTGCCCCGTTTTAGGACTGTTCTCGCCACAATTGTTAAGTGAATTGTTGAGTTAGTAAACACCGTTTGTTAAGCGACTCTGGCTTCCTCGTTGACTTTGCTTTTTAGAAGGTCCCAAAAAGGGATCATATAACCCAGAACTCTGCAACCGTCATAAACATGAGTCAGTGGCCAAGCTATCACGTGACCATGGGGATGTTGCAAAAGTTGTAAGTATGGAAAAGGATCATAAGTCCCCCTTCTTCAGCGCCGTTGTAACTTTGAACAGTCACTAAACAAACCTGCCTACATTTTACTCCATTTGAGTACCTGGAATAATACAGGATGAATTTCGTCTTTTTTTTTTTTTTTACCCCAAAGCCCTTCCTGTTTGACTGTGATTTATTTCAACCTTGCACAGATACCATCTTGGTCAATTGGCCTGCTTCCATTGCCATTCCCCAAACAGCCATGCTTGCGTCCTTCGTGCAACAGAAGGTAACGAAAAGGAAAGGCAGGAATTGAATACTGACAACCATCCAATAATTGCCCAGGGAGCTGCTGGTCCGGTTCTGCAGAGGAATTATTGAGTCCGTCATCTGCACCTCTATAACTGTCTGGTTTGGCTCTGCAACCCAACAGGAAAGACACAGACTTCAAATGATCATTAGGACTGCAGAAAAAACAATTAGTACCAACCTGCCTTTCATGGAGGACTTGCATGTTGCACAAGTCAAAGAGAGGGCTGTGAAAATATTTACATACCCCTCACATCCTGGACATAAACTGTTTCAACTCCTTCCCTCAAAATGACACTATAGAGCACTGCACATCAGAACAACTAGACACAAGGACAGTTTTCTCCCAAACGCCATCACTCTGCTAAGCAAATAATTCCCTCAACGCTGTCCAACTATTTACAAAGTCTGTACTACTATTACTATCAACCTTCTCATCACTCCTTATCACCCATCCCCTCCCACTTGTGACTGTATGACTAACTTTATCGCTTGAATCCTTACGATCTATATTGACTGTTTCTAGTACAATTTGATTGCTTATGCCTATGACTATCATTAAGTGTTGTACCTTATGATTCTTGACTCCTGATGAATTTATCCTTTCTTTTATGTACACTAAGAGCATATGCACCAAGACAAATTCTTTTTGTGTCCAACCACACTTGCCCAATAAAGAATTCAATTCAATTCAATTCTAGGAATGAAATCACAGGACGCTTCTACTGAGCCACAAATAATTTATGCTGAAGGAAACACCCCGATCTCCACCCATGGGTCTTTGGTTGCCTCATTTCGTGACATTTCAGGGGCCACGGGAAAACACTCACACTGATTCAACAAGTGGGAGAGCATATTCCATTTAAACCAGGATTATTTCTCTTGGGAATAATGACAGGAGGTCATAGGAAAGGTATACCATATTTAATAATACATGTACTGACAGCGGCGAGAATGATACGTGCACAATATTTGAAGAATGAAACCAGAGAGAGAGATAATCGGGAAAAGAATGGCTTGCGCAGAATCGGAAAGGCTAAGCTTAGATTTGAAAAACAAGAGGGAATCAGATGATGAAACGTGGAGTAAGTTTTGTCAGTGGTTGTGTCATGCCCCGAGAGGAGCCGACAGGGAGTGGAAGTGTGGCTCCAGAGGTTGTGGAGGAGGCTGGGGAAGGGCAGAGGCCGGCTGGGCAGTCAGAGGAGGACCCAGGCCCATCCCCTCTCCATCCTAGGGCACACAGGGAGGAGAGGATAAGGGAGAGATGTGAATGGCGTCTTACAGGGGAGGAAAGGGGCCTTAATCCTCTTCGTGGGCTGCAGCTGTTTAAAAGGACGGTCATGCGTATGGGCCAGTGCTGGAAACAAAGTGTGAAAATATCTCTAGTCTGTCCGTTCCTATCTGAATTTGGCGTCTTCCCAGTGTGTATTCCAATATCTGTGGATGTCTTCAAGCCCTTATCTTGCCTGGTTCCCTTGATTGCTTCAGTGTGGTTTGTGTTGTTTTTGCTATTTATAATTTATCGGCATTTTTAGTTGGAACGGCACTTCCTTCTTTTCGTAACTGTTTGTGGGGGGAGTTTTTTGTCTCCAGTCAAGGATATTTGGAGCTTTGAAGCCACGTTGAAGGAATAGAAGGGGCTTCACCTGTTTATATGACTTTGTTTATTTTGTATCCCACGCAGGGTCATCACAGGTTGCAAAAAATGAAGGGAAGATTGGAACAAAAATAACCAGTAAAAAGTAAATATTGTATCAATAATATGAATGTTAATGGTCTAGTAATATTTTTGCATGTATGGCAAATGTAATGCCAGAACGGTTGCACTGTGTTGCATACTTATGGTTGTAAATAATAAAAATATATATAAACAGAGGAACAAGTGGGATAACCCAGTGTTCTTCTGAATAAACTATGATGTTGCTTGTCCTTCAACACAACGTTAGTCGTTCAAAAGCTCTTGGCAGCTGACGTGTGTCCTTCACACCGATGACTTGGATAATGACATCTGTTTGTGCAAATGATGGTCTTGTTTTTCCACGCAGAAATGCTCAGAAAGTAAGAGAGGAAACTGAACATGAAGAATGGAATTCCAGCAACTGTTATTAAAAGGCTTTGTGAGAGTTTTTCTGAGGACTGTTCAAAGCTACAAAGGCACTAAAGAAATGCCATTTTTTCCCACACTTATGACCGATGCGGCAGCCCCGTGGTTCACATGATTTACATTTGGACGTGTGATGACTCACGTTTATGACGGTTGCAGCGTCCCCCGGGGTAAGGTCACGTGATCTCCTTTTGCAACCTCCTGACAAGCCAATGGGGAAACCGGATTCACTTAACAACCAAGGTTAAGCAATTTAACAACTGCAGCGTCTCACGTAACACGCGGGGTAAGAAAAATCGTGAAATGGGGAAGAAAAACCTCACTTAACCAATTTCTCACTTAGCAACGTAAATTTTGGGAGTCGGTGGTCAAGCGTCTGGATGTAAATCACAGAACTGTGGGGAGGCTGCCAGGGTCATTAAGTGTGAAAAATGGCCCTAAGTCACTTTTTTTCAGTGCTGTTGTAACTTCGAATGAACTTCGTCATTAAGGGAACTTCTGTAAATTGAGGACTATAATCTCGCTGCCTTCCTGGTGGACTGGGGAATTCTGGGAGCTGAAGGCCACACATCTTAAAGTTGCTACGATTGAGAAACACGGATTTAGGAAGGGGACCGGGCCTGTACCTCCGCATTAGATCATAGCTTAAGGTTAGCATGGTTGAGAAAC